ACTAGGAACAAGTGCATCGCTAGTAGTAACAAGTGCCTTACTAGTAGCAACAAGAAGCGAACGTAGAAACATCAAGAAAAATGATCAAACCTGTCCGGTGCAGAGTCACATTCAAACCACGATTGTGACAGCATCCAACGAAGCAAATCCTCGCACACCAAGACAGCCGCCGGCCATGTCTCTTCGCTCGGCCCATCCTGTGCATATTCAAGTGGCTCGGGATGTGCCAGTCCCGTCTCCGATTACTCATGGAGTACGAAGTCCCTTCGTTTCCACTTACTGTTTGCAGTCCAAATCATGATAATCCTTGATATTGGTCTTAATATCAATATCATCGTCGTGATTCTCGCCATCCTTCTCCCAGCTCTACTCAGAGCCTTGGCCGGTGGATATGGTGCAGGCAATGCCGCCTGGCGTTTGAAGCGCCTCATGCGCCTCATGGGATTAGATACGGCCCGATCTTGGTGACCTTGCTCTTTGAACCATTTTGAACCTCTTGGACTGGGAGCGAGTCTAAGTTCAGGAAGACTCACTACGTCGTGACATGTCTATTCACCTCTTCATCGCTGGCTGGGTCCAATGGTTTTGTTGAAAACCTGGATCCAATGATCCTGTGTCACTTGTCAAGACATGTCCGGATGCCTGGATCACTTGTTGTGGAGATGCAAGGAGCAAGTGCACCTGTGCTGAACTGTTTCCCTGATGCATCATTTCAGCCAATGTGCAGGTGGAATCTACGAGCAGTTCACACCAAAACATGTTTGCAAAACCAATTGCCTCAGCCGGAAGCTCGGAATGCGCCAACAAAGATTGCATTACCTGGCAATAACAATATCCAGGAATGCAATACCTGATGATATCCAATCCAGTCAATGGTAGCTTTATCAGTAGTCTCATGCCTTTAATGCATTTTACTACTACAATCCCTAATGAACAGCATACACTGCCGCCTCTTTCTCAGCTTTGCTGCTGACACCTCAGATCGCGCAAACAATATGAAACAAGGATCTCGACAATATGCCTCAATCAAGTGACCCACCCAACCAGCGCGGAGTTTCCGGCGACCGTCCTTCTACCAACCGAGTCAGGACTCTAACTCTAACAACTGCAGAACAAGTGCATCCTGTGAGGTGAACTTAATCTAAGTAAAGGCTCTAGACTCTAATCTCCACATCTTTCGTGACAATTGCTCATGTATGTGTGTGTGTGGCTTAGAACAACTCCCGTCCATTCCCATGCATGTTGTTAGCTGTGGAGTGCTTGTTCTTGACAGATTTGCACCACAGGTAACAATGAACCCTGGCGAAAAATAACAACGGACCTGAACAATCCATCCAACTTCCCAACACAGGTGTTCCTCACCTGCAACAATTCCACTGGCTCTGGTGTGAATGACAGGTGACAGCAGCGCCACGGGCAGCGACTGAGAGGTTTGGATGAGTAGCGTAGCGCCGATGTCGGGGGAGACTTTACGCTAACAACTCAAACATGTACAAAATCAATCAAAACATATCAAAACCAATTCTTTGTTTCATGTGGTTTCCCATTTCCAATAAACAACTAACAACCGAAGACATGTTGACATATTTTGACCAAACCAATCACAGAATGCCAAGCAAGGGCATTCAGCAAACTTCAGCTTTACAGACGTGCACTTTGAATGTCTCAAAAATGGGGCATCTGTTGTGTTTTTGTTAGATCTCTCCCAATTATCACACCCATAATATGGGGATGCGGGATATGGTCTTTCTTGCGCCTCTGAAATGTCCACAACTTGCACTGGAAGCTGCTCCGGCAAACCTCGGAAAGCCGGCTCGGGAGATCGGCGAGATCGGCGAGAGGGTTCGCTGTTCGAATCCATCCGAGGTGCTGTGAAAGGCATGTTCCAAAGCACTCTGGACCACCTGGACTTGACAAAAAGGCCAAAGGCTGACACAAGGAAGTTCACATCCCATATCTAATCTAGCATTGGGCGCAAACTGGGTCTAGCGTATTCATCACAGATGCAGGAAAGAATGAAAAGAACGAATTCATTGATGAATGGACTGATCATCTTCAGGGCTGTGTCATGATGCCTTAGTCATGGTTTGTCAAGGTCAATGAGGTCACCTCATGTCACATCCCCACAGAGGCACCTTACAACACCGTAGCAGTTTTCTGGTGCGGCAGGGTTGCCTATGTTGCCATGTTCTTTCCAGCACTCCCAAGCAGAGTTGCAAGGCCCATACTTGGACATGCAAATGTTATCAAATGTTCATGTCTTCCGATTGCACCCGTTGTCCGATCGCGGTGTGGAGCCGACATCGCTCGTTTGGCTTTCTTCACCGCGAGAGGTGCAACTTGCGTCCTTGGGCCATGTGTCCAAAGTCTGTGATGTTTCTGTTTTTTCTCGAAGATCTTTATGCAGTGCCTGCAGTGCTGCATCACACGTTGGTCAAAGTCTTGATGCCCCAAGTGGGTGTTCCCACTGCTTTCTACCATGTCCACACGGTGCCAGTGAGCATCAAACCAGTGTTGCGTCTGCCAAACCCCAAAGGGATGCCCATGACAAAGTATCTGGACCTCCTCGACCCTGACATCTTCGCAACGGTAAAGCAGTTGGTCATCTCGTGCGTCACCGTCTTAGTGAGTCAATGCCGTGGCACTCCAGTTTGGGCGCTCGTGGATGTGCGGATGCGCCAAGAGTGGATGAGTCACCAAGATGTCTCACTTGATCCAGCTCCATCACCAGCTTGCCCAAATCCATCGGTGGCACCCTGCCTTGGTACTGGTCTACGTACTGCATGGGCCCCGTTGTTCTTCAACCTCCCCTCTTCCACCCACGTGGTATGCCGGTGGTACGTGGTCAAACCACCTGGTTGCTCCTGCCAGCCGATGGTCGCGTGGTGTGGGCCATCTTGTGAGCTCAAAAGGTCCCGCAGTCAAGTCAAGTCTATTTCAGATACTCTGACGATGCCTTCGGCGGGGTAACGCTGTTGGGGTAAACGCGGGGTTTACACTCACTCACATCACCTTTCCTCCGAACATGAAAGTGGTGAAAACATTGGTCATCAAATCCTGCACCAGATTGGTTTACAGTCTGGTGCAGTCTTCGAGGACCGTTATTTTCAACTGTGAGTGAGTGTATACCTGCTCTCCCAACCGCGGTAGCTCTTCGAAGGCACCGACAAGATGGTTGACCTTACAGTACTGTTCGGCTGTCTCGCATGCAGCGTCAATCGGCCATAGCAAGGGTTGCGTCGTTCTCAATGCCTGATTCTGCCAAATAACGCAAATAGTGTATGATATCGTTTGCTATTAGGTTGGAGGCCGCCGCTAGTAGGTTGGAGACCATGGCTACTAGAAACAATGAACATGAAAAGGAAGAAAGGTCTAGCGGGCTCATGGATGCACCGGCGTTGTCGCAGCAGGGGAGCTCAGGTCCATCGCTGAAGCTCAAAACGCGCTGTGGACAAGACCTGTTCCGCAATACTCTTTAAATTGCGGCGTTAGTCCCGTCCCCATGTCCTGGAAAGCCAAATTATGTGTATATCTACAGGGGGTACCTTATAACTTATGTATACTATACCTTGAGAAGCAAAAACCTACAGAAGTGTAGGTTCTGAAGAAGGACCTCGTTTTGATAAAAGCTTGTTTTCTTCAGGTATATTTTTTTATACAACTGGAACCGCAAGGATCCCCAACTGTTCCGCAGTGAACGCGCATCTCTGCCTTCCAGTGCTCCGTGTCGTTGAAGCGGAGTAACTCTTCCTCTTCCAGCCTTTTTGCATTGCGCACACACAACCAAAACAAAACAGGTCGCCTAAGCCTTCAAACAAAAGGTGAGTCCCACTAACAAGGCCAACGACATGCTTGACAAAGAACATCCAAACTGACGCAGCGTCGATATCTAAAGCCGTTCGAAAACCCATTTGGCAATGGTGAAGGTGATGTGATGGTGATGTTTTCAACAACATCGATCCAAGCAGAATCGATTCATCGCGTCACTCCGCATCGCTCATCCCGAGTCTTGGGTGGCCGACTCCACGTCCGGCCAGGTGGGCTCTGGTGCCTGCCGACCCCGACCAGCGTGGACCGGCAGGCCGGTGGAGCGGTCGTTATCGTTGACCAATCCCCATGGAGCATCAGTTGATTATGGTGATCGGTCGCGGTGATTACAGTATTATTGACGTGTATTTGACATGTATTGACGACATTGACCCACTGTCACAGATCTACCAAGTGGCTTTAAGATCTTAAGTAATCTTAAGACATCTTAAGCATCAAGGACAACTTCGGTCCACTCTTTTCTCCAGAGAAAATCGATGAACGGCCTTTTGCCATCGGAAAATGTACAAAGCATATACAATCTTTGAGGGTCACACCAAGGTCTGCGACATGGAAAGCTTCTTGAAGAGCTTGATGCTCTTACAATCCGACGGCTTCTTGTAAGCGGCATCTTCCACGTCCTACAAAATCTACCAGTCTCAAACTGCATGGACGTTTGACAAAGATTGAAGGTGCGACGCAAAGGGCACATCCCCGAGCCTGCACAGTGTAGGTACCCTGGCGCAGGACACCTGTTCGAACTGCTCTTCCCAAACGTAGACGGTAAACTTGAGAAGCGGGAACGAAAGTGAGAGAATACATTGCTCATTCCAACACCATCCGCAAGAGAACTTGAAAGAGGAGGGGGTGAACGAAAGGTAGCAGGGAATTAGACGTAACCCTGGAGGAGGTCAGGGCCCCCCTGTTGAACAGAAGCCCTTGCTAAAGGATCAAAGTTAAGGCAAAGCACCAAGTACTGAGTGTGAGAGAATATTGCGAAAGTTACTTGGCGTGATGATAGAAAAACTAATGCACAAACGTCTGTATAGCTCAAAACCATCCCAATTTACATGCTTTGTGCCCGGAAGGCGCACAAGCCCGTGTAAGTACCGTCGCTTTGTGCCACTTTGAAGCCTCCAAGCGCCGAAAAAGCCACTAAAATCCTGCAAATAGCGTGGTTTGAGGTCACTCTTGAAGATAGGAGGAGCTCAAAACACTGGTATTTACGGTGTTTTGTGGCCACTTTGAAGCGTACACAGCCTAAAACCATCGCAATTTACAGGGGTTTGTGCCGGGAAGGCACACAAACCCATGTAAATACCGTCGCTTTGTGCCATTTAGAAGCCTCCAAACGCCGAAAAAAGCCTTTCCGACAAAATCGTTCCAGGTTTTGGGTAATTGTTCGACCTTTTTTGAAGCCTAGACACTTCAAAAACCATCGGTTTTTACGAGGTTATTTATTGGCCGGACAGCCACAGAAAACACTGTAAATTGCGTGGTTTGAGGCTACTCTTGCAGACTGGAGGAGCTCAAAACACTGCTATTTACGGTGTTTTGTAGCTGTTGACAAAGACCCGCGCCAGGGTGGAGTTGAAAGGGGCGGGGGGGGCCCCCTCGGCCGTGACTCAGTGAGATAGGCCTCCACTCTGGTTATATATAATTCATTTTTGCTAAATAAAGCAAAAAGGAAAACTCAGGTAGCATAACTGCTACCTTTCGTGATTATATACATAGAATTACTATCAATGGAGGCGATGGTGTACTCTCTCATGCTTCAGCCCTAGTGTCACCGAGAAAACTTGTGTGGAAATGCTCGAACCCTAATCTGAAACAACCTTTCCGTCACTAAGATACGTAATTCCAACCTCAACTGATGCTTGCGATGCATGAGTCCCAAAAATGGGGAATCAAGGGCCCCACCAAATCGGTATCGATTTCTGAAGGGAGAGGGGGCCCAGTTGATTCTATCACGCAAAGTGAGGGAACGTCCTTTGTAACACATTCCAATTCGGATCGATTCGTCCTTTGGAACTATATATCAATTCTGAGTGAACGAAGACTTCAGCAGACCTCCCTGCGAGCTCGCTCTCGTGACATCCATAAACATCCATAAACCCAGGCTTGTTGAGGTCTGTCCCATGTCCCACTCACATTTGATGAAAGATGCTGAGTTGGGCTCAATCTCGCTCGGTTCTTCGTACGTGCGCAGCCACCCCCGAGCCTTTAATGCTATCCACGACCTTCCACTGGGCAGTGCTGTTGAAGAGTTGTGCGGGGAAGGACGGGAAAGCACCCACCCAGCAGAGTGTGCACTCGCCCTCCTGCCAGTCAGTCAGTGAAAGGCACTCCAAACTCACTCAAAAGGACACCCATGGCCCCACCTGTCCTCAAAGCCGCAAACATTGCCTAGCTCTCGCACCAGAGCCAAACTACTGAGGCCATCAAAGCGAACATGTGCACAAAGCGCGTCAAAGACCAAGACTGAGTGCAGCATGATGAACTCCTCCTTGGAGACCCAAATCGTTTTCAGCGACTCGGTCGTTTTCGAGAGCATCCGAGGCGCTTCAGGTTTCTTTCCAGTCGCTGCGAGGGGATGAGTCCATGGATGATATGTTTTTGGCACGAGAAAAGAGACATCGTGGACATATGTGGACATCAAATGTGTCTCCTCCTTTCCACTGACTTGGTCATAGGTCAAAGGTAGCAGCATCCGATGTGGAAGATTCCAGAGCCAAAAATATGCCATTAAGAGGTGGAAGCCCAGCCTCAGTTCGCGCAGTTGAAGTTGTGAAGTTTCAACAGCTGGTGATGCTCCAGCTGAACCTCTCTCCTCTGGGCTGTGTGCCATTCCGTTTTGCAGAACTAGGCAAAAAGTCGACAGTGTTCAAGGGGATGTGCTTCAAAAAGCAGATAGAGGAACATCGACACGCCGCCCCTGGGTGTGGTCTCGCAAGGTGACCCTCCCTCAACGACCACTCCAGGTCTCCTCGAGGGGCCCGCCGGCTTGGTAGTTGAACCTCTAGGCTCTACAAGTCCAGTAGCAGACCCCAACCCCCCCAGATGGGGGGTGATCGCGCCAGCCAATGGTTGAAGCATGTTCACTGGTTCACACTAAACCACAGTCCAAGGCTCCAATCTCCAATCCAACCGGGAGCCGGTGCTCCCTTCACCACAGGGCAGCCACTGTGCGCCACGACCTCCCCGAATGCGTCAATGTGCATCATGCGGCTCAAGAGGTTTCCACTCTCAGTTGGGAGAATCATACAAGGATACAAGTACTATAGAGGATACAAGTACTATAGTACCAGTACGGTGCATACACCGAGGCTCACCTTCCATCACCTTCCCTGCTCCCCTTCAAAAAGTGTTTTAACATGCTTTAAACACATTGCGCTCGCGATGTTCGCGCAATGTGTAAGCAGAAGAAACCCCGGCGAGGCCGCCTTGCCCAGCTTGGCGGCGGCGGAGACCTTCACCAACAAGGTGCCCATGGCAAAGTTCCCCGCGGCGTGCCGGTGCGCCACCACGTAGGGCACCTCGACGAGCGGGCCCCCGAGCCACCGAGGCGGAGGCCGCCGGGTCGTGGTCGTAGCAGTGAAGTTGATCAGTGACGGTCAAACGACACCAGGGTGAAATCGTGACTGCACCCGCACCAGGACTATGATCCCAATAAATAATTACGTCAAAATCTATGTAGGTTGATACACAAACAGAGTCAGAGTCCTGATTGTGGCTGGGCTCGCCTCTACGGCGCTACGGAGTTTGGCTAAGAAGGATGCAAGAAGCATCCACTTCGACCCTCTTCCACCCCTTTTTTCCCGCGGATGTTGAGCGCTGATTCCACTTCGAGTTGATCAAACCATTCTGGTATTGGTTTGGTTCCAATTGGCTGGGATTGCATCAGAAGACATGAAAAAGAACACTGCCCTCCTGGCCCTCCTTCTCCCTTTTGAGGTCAAAGAGTCAAGCTCAGGAAGCGTGTTTCTTCGTCCACGCGCGAAAATCCAAACAACCTCCAATCACCCGAGGTCACCTGGTTTGGGAAGAAGTTCCCATAAATGCTATAGATCGCATGAGCCAGCAAGAATGCCATCAAGACTGGATGCATGGAGCTGATGTCTCGCCACTGGAAGCCCATCGTTCGACCTGGCGACCCCCCCAACGGAACGACCACGAAAGCGGCGGCGGCTCAAGCGAGACGCGCGACATGTGATGACAAAGGGCGGGCCTACTGAAGGGCCATAGAGGCCGAAAAGAAAGCAATACATCATGGCATCCACAAAGTTCCAAGTAAAAACCTGAGAGCAAAGGCAGCTTTGCAAATGACTGGTGGGTGACCATGAACATTTTTCTGTCACTCCTGCTCCTTCTGTGCACACCACTCAAATGAAGGTCCCGACATCCACGATCAGTGTGGAGATGATGTAGAGGTGCATGCAACAAATGAAGATGATTCCACAAGAGACCACCGTCGGATCGTTGGAGAGCACCAAAATGGGCCCAAGCGTTTCACATAGAGCGCAAAACGCTGAGAAGGCAGACGCTGTCCTGGTGAGGCTGTAGTCAGCCTCCGGATCTTTGTATCCTGCAAGTCAGCGTTCCCACTTGGTTCTGAGTTCTGAGGCTCTGATTTGGACCCTCAAATGAACGGCAAATAATGCACCATCAGAAGGCAATTGCTGGATGGAAACCGACGGGGGGGTGGTTGAATCGCTGCACAGAGTCCCTGTCCTTTGTACATAGTCCTTCGAAACCAGTCTGACCATGGCATGCTGACCATGTACTTTGCAGACCATAGATTGCTGACATTCAAGTACTTGAACCAAGGACCAATTTTACACCTGAGCTAAAGAAAACATAAGAAAACCACGAAAGGCAAGTGTCTACGTTGTCTACGTGCGCTGTCTGACCCTCGCAACAAACCATCCCACTGCACTGAGTCTTTCACCACCCAGAGCAAACATAGAACCTTGGCTGAAAGACATCTTTGCTCTTATGCTTCCCACAAGGGGCCCCTGAAACTTCTATTTTGTGTGCCCACATACGCAAGCGCATTCCCGCTGAGTTGTGCACCATGTCATAAAAAGCTGCAAGCCAACCACCTGGCCTTGCTGTACAGGAAAGCACATGCAAAAGAAGCAGTACATCGTCTGTGTGCCGTAGGTGTGCATGTGCTGGCCGTAGTCGAAAAGAAACTCATATATCCTGGCGACGCACGTTCTCAACTTCTTACAGTTGAATCATGATGCTCAAGTTCACCCACTAAGCGCCTGACAAGCAAGCCGTTAAGGGTTGCATCAATGCAGGTGTCACTTCCGGTGACAAGAGCACCCGGATCGTGAGCACATACACCAGGAAGCCTTCCACGAAGACATCCAAGTAGTTCCGCTTCATGGGTAGGCATGGCATGAAGGGCGCATTGTACTTCATTGAGCCCACTGTAAATCGATACCACCAGTCTTGGAAAGGTGGATTCACTTTCGCATGCATTGGGCCACTGATGACCCCCAAGCCCAAGGCCTCCCACATATTCCAGAAGACCAGCAGCTTCTGAAAGAGTGTCAACCATGGGACGGACGCCCCATTCATGGGGGTCGTAAGCACTACTGTGGCAAAGTAACAAATCAAGAAGACCAAAACCATTGACCAATGCCATGCCATAACTGCATAATTGATTCCAAGACCAGTGTTCGCATCCAAAATGTGTGCGACACCCACATCGGTCTTCGCTGGCAGGTCCTTCCCTTGGACCTTCGCCTCATCTGGAGGGAAACGCGCCCCCAAAGTCACGGCGAAGATGGAAGAAATGTCAAAGGAAGTGCCACAGCTTCTCCACCACATCTCGAGCACACCTCAAGCAGTGCTAAGCAGTGCTAAGCAGCAAAAAGATCTGTTGGAAAACAAAAAAAGTCTCAAGTGTCGACATCCAGATCCAAAGCGATCCATTCCAAGCATGTACCCTTCCAAGATGGAGAGTAGAGGGGGGGGTACCTTCTGGTCATTTTGCTAAGGCATGGTACATCAAAAGGCTCATTGGCTCATTGGTGATTGGGCAAGGCGATGTTCCGATGTTGCACAAGACTGAGGAAGCCACGAGACACAACGTCCCGCTGCAAAGTCGAAGAGCGCTCGAGGCATCCGTTCACAGCGCGACCGTCTACGATCGCCCGTTGAGCCAAACATCGCCCGTTCACACATGAGCGGTGTCAAAAACCGGTCTACGATCTGTTACACTCATGACTTGCTTCCGCCAATGCTTGCGCGGAGCTTCCGCGACCTGCGTTTGGGCTGCGGGCCATGTTTGGTTGAAATCCTCTTCCGCGGCGCTTCCAAGAATATTTCTCAAGTAGTGCTCATAGGTTAGACAAATCTCCTCATCTCCTTCAAGTATAGAGACATTTGATTTGTTATTGTCAAGAAGATTCAAGAAGATAACATGTGCACTTCCGCAAAGCTTCAGCGACGATGGTGAATAAATATATTAAATTATATTAATATACTTATGCGGTGGCTTCCGCAAGCTTCCACGACTGCAGTTTTGGCTTCCGCGGGCAAGTTGGAGTTTACAAGTTTTCTTAAACTGTTCGTGGGAGGTTTTTGACGCTGCTCACGTGGCTGCCAGGGTCAAAAAAACCGGTCGCTGAGCTCGATCGGACGGGCGCGGAGTCGCTACAGTGCCCCACCCCTTGCCCTCGCGGTGAGCGCTCGTATGAAGAGCAGGAATGAATACGGCAGGTGTACACAAGTGCAAATGTCAGACGTGAATTCACACAGCGCATCTACCCATAAGCTTGAAACACAAAACGCACATCAAATTCAGGAAGACTCGAACATGCTTAGTTGCCAAAGGTCTTAATCTAAGGTGGAATAGCAATAGATGTACAGGAATAGGATGTAAATGTACTCTAAATGTTACGATTTGCTCGCAATAGATGCAAGCTCTTCTTCGTCTTCTTCTTCTTCTTCTCATGAAAAAGAACAAACACATGTTGAACGAGCGGAAGTTCTGGATGTTCTGGCAAGGTCGGAGCTTCCAAAATAGCTGCGAGCTCCGGCTAATTCTTAACGTTTTTTGGTGGGTTACTATCAAAGCTCTTCAATGTTTTGATGGACAATATCCATCATCTTACCAGCCACTGCGAAGACCAGCAGGATACGCCAGAGTTACGTTGGTGAATGCCAACCGCGCCCCAACAAGAAAAAGCTGATAAGCTTATAAATATAAAGCCTTACATCATGTAGGCCTAGAAAACTCACCCCACTTCTCGTCTGCAAGAGCATTGAGACACGCAAACAAGCTTTGAACAAAAACAAGAAAGAACTAAGGTGGATGGCCCTGGTACACCGATGTTTGTTCATCAACAACGGTTTACTAGATTTTACACTAAATTTAGGATATCTCGAGTTCTCCACAAAGCCAGCCGCCTCAAGACTGCTTGCGTGGCCCTCTGCGTCCTGCAGTTTGCAAGAGTCGATCAAACCCCATTTGCAGCTGAAATGGGCCACGATGGTAGTTTAGCATGCAAAGACACAAAACGCCAGTCAACACACTTGATTCAGGTAAAGTAATTTAGGTGGTCTTCATGTATAAAGGCACAAAAAGATCTGGGAACATCCTAATGTTTCGCCTCTCTATGTGAATGTGCACAACGGCGAAACCACTGAGACCCTCCAAAACCGACACCTCCACCGGTCGTCACACGGTCGTCACGACACTGCGCTCGTCGGATCCTGCAGCAGGACCTCAAGACCATCCGCCTCGTCTCGGGAGGACGTCTCTTTCGCTGGCGGAGGTCGTCTCAACTTCGAAGAGCACGTCTCGCTACAGTAGGAGGTTGCGAAGTGTTTCGCATCAACCCCTAACCCCCCAAAGCAACTGCCATTCTGTCACGCCCTCAATGGTTGCTGCATGATGCTGCTACCTCCTCCGGTCTAAGTTTACTAAGAGTTCAAGACGGGAGACAGGGCGCTACCTCCGCAGGGCCAAGCGCCCAAAACGACACAGGGTCGCCTGCACACGCAGGTGCAAGTGGACTTGATCACCCTCGTGTAGGTGCAGCGCTTGGTCGATGGAGAAGGTCAAGGGTTTCACCTCAGTCGCCACGTCATCTGCGAACGCGCCGTCGGAGAGGTGGTGCACGGTGGTGGAAGAAAGGAATTGAGAGACAACCGGATAGTCTCATGATGAGCTTGTAAGAGCTTCTATTGTTCTGATCTTGCCATTCTTTTTTCCGTAGTGAAGGATTGATGAGTCACCGGGCTATATCATTGCAAGTGCCACTACTCAGATTACAGTCTTTTGGGAGAAGCTGAAGTGACCAAGCAAAGGAGAGCCTCTAGTATAGCTGATTACTTTCTGCGTAGAACATAGAAACACCGGAGGAGAGAAGCTGAAGCTGAGTTTCTATGTTTCTCACATCTCGGGTAACACGAGTGACACTGTTCTCGTGCGCAGGGTGTCGCCGGAGGAAAATCGGAGTGACATTCTCGTCCGATTTGTGGACTTTGGGATAGGATGGATAGGATGTCCAACACATTCGCCCATCCCATTGGACGACTTGGGCTCAACTAGGAATTTACGCTAAGAACTCCGACTCACTCACATGCGAAAGTTAAGAAAAAAACCACCCCGTGTTTCTAGAGGAACACCGTCTTCCCAAAGGCCATGCTCTTCCCACCGGTCTCACCGCTGGTCTCCGTGGTGGTCTCCCTGAGCTCCCCGGACCGCTTGTTCCCAGGAGTCGGAGCCACCTGTGGACTTGGCGTCCGGGTTTGGGCGATGTCTGGACCTGGATGGACAAAGGACTCATTGGACAAGACTCGTTTCGGTGGGCAAAGGACTCATTGGTACCCTTGCAAGAATCGAAAAAAATTCAGAGTCCAGTCCATCGTCTCCTTGTTTCATGGGAATCGAAGCAAGGCAACTCTGTGGGCTGAATACGGTTCCGTCTTCGTGGGCAGGGTGACCGGGTGGAGGGCGGACACCGGAAGCAGCCCAAGCAGCCACGTTCCGTCCGATCGGCTCGTTCCGGGCCACGGACTCCATGGACAAGTCGGTCGGTGGATTCGGGTGTAGCGCTCCAAAGGAAGGAAGGAAGGAAGGAAGGTCAGTTGACAGGAATAGACTATCTTGGTTGACCCACCAAATGGACCGAATTGTTTCATGATTCATAAGTATTCTACCAGGGAATACCCATGGACTTGGTTTTGGGATCCAGGTTTTGACCCACATTCATTTTTGACTCTGGCGATCAGCATATTCCACTACGGGTGTTGCCGCTTTTGCACAGGAGATCTACACGCAGGTGCCCACTTGACCAGTGGCATTTTGCCCTGAAGGTCCTCCACTTTTGCGCGACATTTTTTGGCACCAGCTCAAAGGTTTCTTCCGGCTTCCAAGCTAGCAAGTCCTAAGAAGCCTGGCCTGTGGGTGATGTGTGGATTCGGCATTCACCCGCAGCATCCAAGTCAAGTTCCTCGTGCCACTGAAAAATGGAACTCTAATTAGAACTCTAGGTATTGTATCCAAGTGTCGGCCTGCAAAATATGCCTGCTTGCATCTTTCACAATCGTAAGTCAAGCATTACAAACAGCGAAATAATCCAAACCTCCTATGTAAGTCTGCCTCTATGCGCTTCACAGTGCATGACCCATCTCTCCTAGCTGCTGCCCAACAAACTACAGTAAAGTTCTTTGATTCTTTACTCAATTCTTTGCCAATGAATGTCTGCGAAAGCCTTGAGGCAAAGCCTCCAACTTCTCAACACCGCACGTCCGCACACCGAAATCCACGAGGGGAGCACCCACCAATAGACCAGCGCGTGAGCTGCTCCAGCCTGCCGCAGTGGCACGGCGCGCCCTCGACGGTCGACCGTCGACCCTGTCGCGGCGGACCTTCGTCACGTGGAGCTCCAAAGGTGGATCGATCCAGGTGCCCAAGTTGCTGTACCTGAAAGCCCCGGAATCGCTGATGAATGCGGTGGTGGTGTTTTTCATGTGTACTGGGGTTGACAAAAATCCATGTAAATCCAGTAAGGTGGGCACATATACTCCGCAGTCTGTCAGCTTGTCGATTGAAACTTTGGCTTATCACCAATGTTCATCACAAAAAAAACACGAGCTTGGGATTGTTCAGGTGCGCCCTGTCGTATGACTTGGAGAAAAAAACACTCACATGTGTGGCCCTGTCGTGGCAAATCCAGTCTAAGGATACTCGATGAATAGAAAATGAATAGACCCTTTGCAAGGCTTTTGGTCCCAGAAAACATAAGACTCTCTATAGCATGCGATGTCTAACCTCGGATATGTCTAAGGCATTGACAAGTACTCGATCTCCTGAAAGTCAAGGGAGACCTGAGGAGCTCTGCACAAGTTGGACTTGACGAAAAGGAAAGGAGCGTCAAAGGGTGTGTGAAAAGGAGATATTGAACATGGGCAAAAAAAAAACAACAGAAGCAGTATTGATGCACATATCATGACAAAATAAGCCAGTCAACTCCAATGATTAGAAGCACACTCAGCTCTGGGGCATCCCCATTGCACCAGCTAAGTCAAGAACCAATTGCACCGGCTCTGTGAGTGCCACATGAGGCACAACCGACATGGTCTCGCAGGTGTACCGCTCACTGCAGGGGCAGAAGAGACACATCATCTGAGTTCAATGTGCCAATTCATGGGCTACCGGCCCTACAGGCTATCCAAAAGGACATGTTTCTGCTCCGGTTTGATGTAAGCAAAACTAAATGAACCATCGACTGCAATATGTACCTGGACAGGCCATCCTCGCCTATTGCGAAGATAGGCTCCTTTGAGCGGCACCTCAATACTGTGCAGTTCATTATAAGAACAATAAATTTTAACAAAAACATGGCTGGAATGTTCGACCCAACATTTCACTACATTCCTCTACCATGGTTGAGCCGCAGGGTGTTCCAAAGTCGTTGAGCACAAACTACATGAAAACAATACTCAACAAACGCAGCCGCCATGCCATGCGATAAGCAGCAGCAGCAGCAGCAGGAGGAGGAGGAGGACTAGTAGTAGTACCAGCAGCAGCAGCAGCAGCAGCAGCAGTAGTAGTAGTAGTAGTAGTAGTAGCCGTAGAACTAGTTAGTAGTAGTAACTAGTAATAGCATCTAGTAGTAACTATATAGTACAGTAGTATCTGGTAGTAGTAACTAGTAGTCATAACTATTAGTAGCTACTTCTACTAGTAGTAGTAGTAGTAGTAGTAGTAGCAGTAGTAAAGTTGTACGTAGTAGTACGTAGCAGTCACTAGTTTGGAATTAGTAGTTAGTAGTTGTTGTGGTCAGTAGTTGTTGCAGTTAGTGGCTGTTGCCCTTAGTAATGGTTGCGGTTAGTAGTGTGAAGCTATAATTAGTTGTAGTAGTAGTAGTAGTAAGAATAATAGTAGTAGCAGTAGCAGAAGACAAATTGTTATATAGTTTTGTTGGTAACTAGCAACATGTTGAACGTGAAGTCTTTAGACATCGGATGCCAAAGAGCTCCAGCGGACTGGGCCACGCGAAAGCGCTCCAGCAGCAGGGGCGCCTCGCGAAAGAGCGGTCTTCTGAATCGAGGTACACTATGGTACACTCCAACCAGTGCATCATCCGCAAAAAACATGTGTCCAATCTTGAAAAACAAACTATGTTTGTCAATATATCTATATACAAAAGCTAGTCATCTGCCCCAAAAGGATCAAACAGGGCGATTCACAGACAGAGTTCTTGGGCTCCAAAAAGCCTCCATTTTCCCCATCGATCCTCGCGCCACGAGCTCCGACCTCCACGAGCTGTCCAAAGATCCTCGCACGCGCAGGGATCAGCAAGCCATCGGCTTTCAAAAGTTCCTAGCGTGGCACGGTGGTGAGCAGCAGTTAGCACGTCAAACACGCACTGTGGCACGGTGCCATGCCGTGGCACAGTGGAGTTTCGCTTTGAGGTGTCTGGTCTCAAAGCCATAAAGGTGTCCATGCACTCTGTGACAAAAATTTTCAAGCTGTCTGCCATCTTCCTTCATATAAAGGGCCTGTAAAGGCAACTTGCAAAAATTTTGAGATCACGCATTACAGACCATTCAGGTCCATTGCGGCATCGAACGAGGGCAAAAGGTCAACACCAGCCGCCCTGGTCACATTCAATCTCTGTAAGATGGCCGAGGATCATATTGCCATGGTCATAACATGGCCTAATGCTTGTGGGTCTCCTCTTTTCAAGCACATGACTGGCACTCCAATATTGTAGTCCTGTTTTCTCCAGCAATATTGTGGTCCTGGTTTTGTCATCCAAATATTGCTGCAGCTGCAGGGCCGGAGGGAAGTCACGACTCAGCGAAAGCCTTGGCTGCAAAAATCATGCATCCACGCCTTGCGAGCATGCAAGATGGTTGGCAGCGCATGCCTCGTTTCGTCAACGGCTGGGCAAAAGCTCCACAGTGGACTGTGGAGCAAGTTTAGCAACCCCTGGCTGTCATGTCAGGCCTGAAAACTTAAGTGAACATCCTCCTGGCCCCCCCCATTCCTGCTGTGCCAGGTATCCATACTCACCCAGAAGGCCAGCATCAAAGACCTCACAGAAAATGAGGTCAAACTTCGGCAGCTTCAAGGCAGTGCTGACCTCAGCCAGAAGGGCCCTAGCTTCGATTCATGAGGTAAGTAGTATGGCGATGTATGGCGTGCTTTTGCGACTGAAATCCTAAAAAGACATCAAGATCAGTCAGTCAGCCTCGCCAGTCTCAGTCACCCTCCCAGCTATCCCAGCTAATCATTCTCCCGTCGTCGCCGAGCTGAGCACTGCCGGATGAAGGGTAACAGGGCAGGAGTGCTTCTGGGAGGCAATGACCTTGCTGAATCAGTGACATGTATATATGTATATATAACTATATATATAATTATACAAATCTATTATAATATATTACAGACTTGTGATCCAGCCGTTTTTCCCAAAAACTGTTGCACGAAGGAACTCCAAGGAGTGCGCCTCCTGTGCGACACTGCAAAGCGCGTCATTCATCTCACAAGCATGTACTTCTCGAACACCCTGCGCGAAGGAACGGAAACAGCTGGATTGCTTCAAAAACGAAAAGAAATAGCTGGAGAAATATCTGGAGAAATAGGCGAACGACATATCCTTGACCTGCCAAATCTGCTGAAGAATCCTGTCTCAAAGCCATGTCAGTTCGCCAAGGTTCCTTGAGCCCAGCGCACATCAATGACAGCCTGACACATCCGGACCCACTCGGTGCTAAGGCCCATCGATCAGGCCACTCCTAAGGCTCTGGCAATCCAGTGCCAGCACCAATGTCCAAGGCTCTAACACCCTCCTTGCGGCCCTGTCCAAGGCTCGGGCATCGGATGCGAATCCGTGGTGCAAATGCCCAACTGGCCCATGGACCCAATCCTTGCCATGCCCCAAGTGTTTGTCTATGTTTGTCTAATCACTTAGAGGATGACTGTTCATTGATACTTATTGTGCACAATGCTTGCAATCATTTGCAATCTGTTGTGAACGACTTCCACCTGCGATGACGGCAGAGGTTTCATCTCTTCTGGGGCAGTTCTATGGCAAACTCGACACTGTACAACGCCATGATCAAGCCACAAATGGCTCTTCTGTACATTGTAAGTGAAGTAGACAGAACCTCTCAATGCAGCACTACCAGACAATCAATAGGACGCTTTCTAAGATTTGAATGAGGTTTTCTGGCTGCGTGAGAAGTCCTCACAAACAAATGAGCTCTGCGTTGTCTTGGCGTTGCCATCTCCCCAGAAGCTTAGAGCTTGTCCAAGTAGTCACTCAAGAGAGGCATTTGGAGCTTTAAGTTCTTGCGCTTCCGGATGCTGAGCACCAACTCCTCCATCTTGCTGCCCTTCTCCAAGCAGTTGCCCGGAAGACTTTCCCAGTGATCGAAGACACACTGAGGGAACGCTTGACCACTGGTCGCCTGTCGCAGTGAAGAGACAAAACCAAAGGATTCTGACACCGGCAAGTGTGCTTTCACCTGTACCAACGGAGTGCCCTCGCGTTGATTCTCCTCAAAGACGCAGCCTCAGGGTTCCAAATTGAAAAAATATAAGCAAACGTGTGTTCAAACGAGTTTCGCTGAAGTTCATGATGACTTGGAAGGGTGCTGATGCACCTTATCTGTGAGTCGCTGTTGGAATTATCACCTGGACCTTGCGAGTTACTTTCTGTGTGTAGCCTTTGAAAACGCCATGATACGCCATGAATGAAGGTAGGCCGGCAATCCGGATCAGGCCCTTTCAAGGCTTTTCAACTAGAGTAACTAGAGATCACATCCTTTGCAAACTCTGTGAAAGAAGCTTCTTGGGAGCCAACAAGTCTCACCATTGACCCTGTTTCCGGCCTCGCCGGAGGTTCAGGCAGTTGTAGATCCCACTCAGCGACTCCTTGGGGCAGGAGATCTCGACCAAGAAGACCGGTTCCTGCAGAGTTGGCTTCGCTGTGAGCTCTGATGCGAAGCAGCACCGCCTCACGGCCGGCATGACTTGACCGCCTCCTCGATGTACCTTGTCTGGATGGAGGAGCACCTCCGTGAGGTTGAAACGAATGCCTCGCATGTTCTCTTCACACAATGGACCTTGCTTGGTGGCCCACTGGAAGGCACTTCCCACAGAATCCTTGATGTCTTGCAAGTACTGGGCACCGATGGTGGAATCCACCACCATATTGGGGCCCTCACATTCAGGACCGAAGCACCAAATCTTTTGGGCCGCCTGCTTGTCCCATCCAAACTTGCTGCTCAAAATCTTGGCAGCCTCCTTTGGATCTGCTGGTCCCACAGAACCCTCTTCAATGGCCTGTACCAACTCGGAATCCAAAGGCTCAGCAGTAAAGTAGAGGCGATTGTGCTTGTTAGCCGACTTTGCCAAGCAAGTCTGGCTGGATGTCTCAGTGACCGTCTCACGGTACGAAACGACTGGATCAGAGACAGTGAAGTCACATTGTGCAAACTCCTCCCTCAAATCTTTCAGGCAGATTTCCACATGCAGCTCGCCACAGCCAGCAATCACATGTTCTCCACTTTCTTCCACCGAGCAAACTACAAGTTGATCAGACTTAGACAACTTCTTCATTCCTTCCACCAACTTTGGCAAGTCCTTGCCATCCTTGGGCTTCACTGCGACCTTCACCACAGGAGACACACTGTACTTCATGTCGGTGAAGTTATGAGCATCCTCCAAGGTGGTGATCGTGCCAGACTTTAAGATATACTGGTCAACTCCGGCCAGAGCTACAGTATTGCCGCAGGGCACGTCCTGGTTCGCAGGAAAGCACAGTGGATATTGGTCTCTAGACTGGTGCAGCCCTTACATCAAAAATCAAGAAACCAAATGCAAATATGGTGCATTATGTTGCATTGCGCCTTTGCATCAAACCTCTGCATCAAACCTCCAAAACAAGGGAGCGCGGAAAGCTCATATTGCTGACTTGTCAGGATCAACAACACGTTCTTGGCCAGAACCTACTCTTTATATTAAAAGTAAACCAGCATAATTACGGTGGCCTTGACATCTTTACCAGGCATATCTGGTGGTCCAGGTCCAAGACAACAACAGAAAACACACCACAAAGGATCACAAAGGTACATCACAGTACATTACTGGTTTGCCCTTTGCGCCACTAGTAACAACATGCCGGGTCATCCAAAATCAAGGGATAGCGCGCACTCCCAGTAAGAATCGATCACGGAAGCGGAATAACTACAGTATGAATAACTACCTTCTGGATCTTTTGGCAAAGCTGCTTCCTTGGGTGCCCGTTGCATGTCCATGTCCTTCGTTTTGAGGGGAAGTATCCACTATGTCATCGCGCCGGCTCCGATCCTGGATGAGTTCACTGCCTCGGCCCATCATGATTACCGTGCGTTGAATCGCCTTGACGTGCAGGTCTTCTTTGGTTCCCGGCTTATAGTGTGGCCCTTGGATGCGAACCTTTTGTCCAGTGGCCACAGTGCCAGAGAAGACTCTGCCGAAGGCAAAGAAGCGACTCTTGTCTGCCGGCACCATTTTGGAGACGTACATCATCAAGGGGCCCTGTGGGTTGCAGTTGCGAATTCCCATGGCAGCGTCATCATCCATAGGACCGTCGTAGAGGTTCTCAACACGATAACGTTGCGCCACCTTGGGTGACGGTAGATTGACAATCATGGAGACCAAACTGTCACCAGCATTGATCCAGTTCTGCATGACGTGCTTCATGAGCTGCTTGCCAGTGAGCGTCTTCTCTTCCCCTTTCAAGACAATCCCAAGCCTCTCCATCATCTTCTCATAGCGTTCTGAGTCCTTGTCCACGATGGCACGAATCAGCTGGTTGATGGGGTTCATGATGTACTGGCAGAACCCTCTTTGCAAGGGTTCTTGACAATCCTCAGGATGCTGGACATTGGTCCAAAGCTTCTTCTTCGGATGATAGAACCAATCTCCCCACAACTTCTCCATCATACGTGACTTGTTGCCACCTGTCTTGGCTGATAACATCTTGGCAAAGTGTTCGACCCCAAATCCCCATCCATGAAGTCCGCTGCCAAAAGCCACGTTTCCAGCCTCAGGCCGCACCTGCAAGTCACCCATAGAGGCGTCATTGTAGGTGGCGATAATCACATTCACATTCTCAATGGCTGTACGGAAACGAAGATACATGTCTTCCGCATCCATTTGCATTTCGAGGATGCAACGATCAACCTTGTTCACGAAGAGGCAAGGCTTCACGCGCTCTTGTAGCGCTTGTCGCAGCACCGTTTCCGTCTGCACAGCACAACCTTCGATGCAATCCACCACCACAATCGCACCATCGGTAATTCGGAGTGCGGCAGTGACCTCAGAAGAGAAGTCGACGTGTCCTGGTGAATCTATGAGGTTCACAAGGTAAGGTTGTGAATGCCCATCTTCATCATGTTCAAAGCACAAGGTCACACCAGTACTCTTGATGGTGACTCCACGTTCCTGCTCATCCTTTCGTCCATGGGTGAAGCGCGCTTCTCCCGCCACTTTGGCTGAAATGATTCCAGCTCGAGAAATCAGCGAGTCGGCCAAGGTCGTCTTGCCGTGATCGACATGGGCAATGATACTCAAGGAGCGGATCTTCTCAGTCTGATCCATGAGGCTCCTCACCTGCTCCATGGTGAAGTGCGGCATGGTCTTCGACCCGCCCCCCCGCTGCAACGCGGGCGCACGAAAAGCGTGGAACCGTGGGGGTAGCAAGCTCTGGCTCGATACTGAGAAGGAGCAAGGAAATCCCGCCCAGCGGCGCAAGTTTAAGAGAAGTCGTCGTGCCCAAATAAACTGTGGCGTTTCTTGGTGCCACAAAGAAACACTGCTGAATGAGGTGGCAAAGAAACCCTGCCTCCGGCCTCTGAGAGAGCTGCAACACCGCGGAGGCAATTGCACGTCCCTGGCAACAACAAGCTGATCTGTGAGCATTCGAATGAGAAGTCAAGCAAGGCTTCGAGTGGACTTTCTCCAAGGCTGTTGCATACTGCTCTCCACGCGGAACATCATTGATCATTTGGAAGTGCCATCCTTAGAATGGCCGACGCCTTCCTCAAACCTGTGAAGCCTCATGTGATCCGGAAGACAGAGTATAGAGACAATGAAATGAAGACTATCACCGAATCATGTCAACAAATCGTTTGTCTGGAAAAATGTGGTGATGACAAAAAACATGCAACCTCTCAGATCTCTCAGGAGTTGTCTTTTTTATGTTGTATGTTTTTAAAAAATAGAATATCATAGAACCTAGAGAGCATCACCTCACATGAGAAAAAGGGAACACTCTGTTTCGGAGCGCAGAGCTGCCGGGGAGACCCGGCTCTGCAGTGCCGCAGCACGCAGACCCTGCAGAGCTGCCTCTGCTCGATCACCTGATTGCCGCAAGGTGGAGCAGAAAATGACGAACCAAGTGTGTCCACACAGCCAAGCATGCTTTGCATGTGTGGTAGGTACAGTACAAAGGAATCTGCACAAAGGAAAAGAAACTGCGTATGAATTCACCAGTATTATTAAGACCCTTCGCCAACCATCCTTCTGACCGGGGGCAAAACTGCCAGCTTGATCTTTTTGGGCCATGGCCTTCGCGGGGCCATCGCGGGTCGGTCCCTGTGGCCCCTGGCCTGCGGGGGGGCCGCCTCCTAAACCACCATGGTTCAGGGAAACCCTGAAACCATTCACTTCCGGACTCTCCAGGATACCATAGGTAACTAGAGGAACCACAGAAGCGGGGCACTAGTGGAAGTGGTGACCAAGACACTCGACGACATCACCGTTTTCTGGGCGAGGCGAGGCTCGAATGCATAGCGGTGGAAGGAACGACCAGATGCCGTCGGTCGCACTGTCTACACCATTTAGTACGAAAGAAACGCGAACCTGGCAGTGAAAAAAACTCTGAAAAGCATCCGTGTTGAATCATGTTGATTCATTTTAAATACATAGAATTACATAGAGAAGTACCTCGAAATAGAACCCAAGAGAGTACTGAATGTAAAAGCTCCTCTAATCTCTTGCTTGGAATTTCGGAGATCGCTTTCCCCAGCCCGGCCCGGCCTGCGCACGGCGCAGCGTGCGAAAGGCCGCCAGGAAGCGGCCCTCATCTGCTTCAGCCTAAGATTTCTCCATCGCACCATGTGTCAAACCAAGGCTTCAAGAATCACCTCAACAGAAAGGGCAACAAATACAGCTGCTTTTCCCTGCTTGCTCCATGTTGTTCCTTATCGCCAACGTTTGGGAATGATCAGGTTCTGATCAGGTCATGGCGGGGTTTATGATGTTATATGTTGTTATACATTATTTGACGACATTATGGGTTCTTCGAAAGGATGGGGAACTAGACAGGGAAGCAACACTCAACCATTGTTTTAAGGATGTTCAAGGCGTCTTTCTAGAGCCTATCAGTCATCGTGGAGCAATGCCGCACAACGCACCATGCCTCGCCAAGAAGACATAGCAAAGAAACCAGTGATGCTGGCAATGACCTTCAGTCCAAGTCCCAGCATTAAATGCACTCACTCCCAAGAATTGAAGCTGAAACATTTTTTGTTGTGGCACTTCACAGATGTTCTAGGCCCATAAACAGGAACGTCTTTTCATGTCTACATTCTTTCCCACCAAGTTGCTTTTGAAGCCGTTGGATTTCATCAGTCTTTCGGAGGATTACGTGAGACACCGCCCGTGCCACCCGGATCACCGGGGGCAATCCGTCTGACGGCCCTCGTGCTGTCCGCGTTCCGAGTCATGGCGTCTGGGAGTCCAAGTCCCGAACCCCTTGTCTTCACCCTGCAGAACGAGATAGGGAGATAGGCCTTAGGCCTTCCTCAAGACTTGTGATCATCGACCGACTGTTACTGGTAATGGGACACGCCCTAGAAACATCAGAACACTTCAACTTCGCAGAATGTTAATCCAATCGAATGTCAACCCTGTGGCCGCCGGACTCGCAACCCCTTGCCCTTCGAGCCCTTACTATGGCTCTGGGGATGCTGCTTTTGACCTATGCCGCCTGTGCCCTTATCGTTCAAGCATACCCCCGGCATACCAGCATGAAGAGAATATTCTGGAACCCATGTGAACCATGGATGCGCCTGAAGGAAAATGTGTGAACCTCCAACAGCCCAGCCACCAGGGTCACCGACCAATCCCCTTTTCGGTTTAAGACACCTCTTGGCTGATCGGTGAGCAGATTTCAGATGGCCTGGCAAACCACTGGTGCCAAACTGGACAGGAGTAAACGCCTGGCGGGCGAATTTGATGGCACCTGGAGCGCCGAGACAACGAGTTCTCAGGTCTTCAGGCATTACTCAAAAACATTCACAACATGAGAAACGAACGAACGACAACCTGTGCTATATCCTTTGTAACCTCCCTTATATCCTTGTGGTCATCCTTATCGTGGACATCCGTGTTCGTTTTCCTGAAAAGCCCTTGATTTGGAACGGCTCCATCTCGATTATCGTCATGAGTCAACTTCTTTTTGCGGCAGCGATCTCGGTCATCCCCACTGAACCGCCTCGTTCGTGCAGAGAGGTCTTCTCGTCCGGGAACCTTGCTTTTGTGCGCTCTTAACAGAGAGGGAACATGACTCACCTGGAAGAAGGGCAGAAGTGGTTGGCTTCATCCATCATGCAAAGTGGCTGGCGATAAAATAATTGAGCCAATTTTAATGATCAAGAAGGTGAACGTCCCCTGAAACAACAGAAGCAACAACACTGTGAATAGAACACACGAATCAAGAAGCCTTGTTCCATCTTGTTCCAAAAAGATGTTGAAAGTGTGCCAGGCTGTAACACATCAAATCCCAAACCACACGGACTTCGACATTGTGGCGCAGCTCTCAATCAGACAAATCCGTTGGGTCCGCTCTCAATCTGATAGGAAGAGATGGCGAAACTAAGGCGGTGGATGCGAAAGGCGGAGGATGCAGGCCCTGTAGGCCGTAAAGATCCAAGGCTCCCACAAATGCAGGGCCCCCACTTCGGCTCCTCCAAAGAAAACACAATCCCCACCCTGAGCACCGTTGTTTGATGTTGTTTGCCTGGAACTTCCAGTTCAAACGATCAAAAACAGTGATTGTATCACATCTGTGAAAATGCAATGCTCTGGAAGGAAAGGGGCCATGAATGGTCCAGGGAGACAGCGGTGCAATACACCTGTCCTGTCAGTCGAAACCTACTGACAGAGCTTCAGTGAGAGATCTACTGAACAAACAAATAACTGGAAGACAGCTCCCAACTGGCAGTTCGTCAGTTGGGCTCCAGTCGTATGGTCAAGGAGACAAGGGTGCACCATGCTCCATCCCCCTGCAGACTGTCCATGGTTCACTTTTCGCTTGGTTCACTGCTTAGCTTGAGTTGTATCGAAGGGGCAAAGCAAAAGGAAAACCCTAAAACCAAAGCAAACGTGCTGGCTCGTTTGCCGATCTCTGGGGCCCAACAAACACCTAACCCGGCGGTGCAAAACATCGAACCGGACCGTGTTCTTTTAACCAAGTGTGACCCCTCCTTCACCCCTTTGGCATGTCAGGTTTTGAGCCATCCCATGATTCATCTTGTTGTGACCGTTTTTTTTTTCCGTCGCGGACGGTTCCAAGGCACAACGCGCCTGGCACACCCAGAGGCATCTCCGCTGGGCGCCACATTGCCAAAGGCCACCAAGGTGTCCTGCGGCGGTGCCCGATACTCGACCCACCGAGCTTCGTCTGACAGCCTTCGGTCAATGCTACACGAGTCTTCCAGACCCCCAGAATAGGTGACCCAATTGCCTAATGGGTAAAGCGTCGCCTTTGCAAGCTGTCTGCTCTTGCGGGGGCTACACTGCTTGACAAGCACGAAGTTGGAGGTTCAACTCCTCCCTGGGTCGTTTGCTTCCCCAGTCATATCACATGACAAGCTATAGAATAGTGTCGTTCTTGACGTGCAATGATGTGCTGTGAGCGTAGTTGTTGCAATGCAAGTGTGTTTTGGTGTTCTACCAAGCGATGTAAACTCGTTCACGCCAGGATTCACACGTCGTTGGTCCCGTCTCGGGCTCCATCGAGTCTCATCGAGTCCCGGCGGACAGCCGACCGAGTGGTCCAAAAAGAAATAGACGTCTGAAAGCTGCCCGTCTAGCGGGCCAGCCAAAGATGAGCAAAAGATAACCAAAGAGACACATCTAGACATTCATCCTTCATCTTCATCCTTCTATCTCCTTCCCCTCTCCTCTGCTAATTCTTCCCAGAGATCTGGAACACGCAGCAGAATTGACGTCAGCAAGGCTGCAGCCTCCGGGTCGGATCGGGGGCTCATGGTGGCCGTACCCACAATTGGATTCGGATACAATTGAATCATATATGATCATATTGGAATATATTGGATCTATTGAGTTGAGGTTGGACCCAAAAGCCTCTCATGTCCACCAGCCCAGCAATCTTGGTGACAAAGCAGCTGCAGCCTCTGGTACTCCTTGAGGCGGCGGCCTGCAAGAAGTTGGCAAAGCAAGTCTCAATCGGTTCTTTTTTGAACCAGTTGGTTGGCTATGCTTCCAACTGGGTCGTGTCATTATCTCAAAATCATTGAAAGTCTTCTGATTGGTCCTTTCCCTACCAAACAATGGAAGTTTTGGTGACTTCGCCGGTGTCCAGACTGAAATCCAACCAGCACCGATCGATCTCCTCACGTGCCTGCTGCCCAGAAGCGCTCGAGCATGCGCCACGGCCTCTACGACTCTACGAGCCAAAGAGACAAGGAAAAACAGGGCTGGCTGGCACCCTTCAGATAACAAGATAACAAGATGTGTCAAAACGCAGCGGAAACGCACCAAACCATGGCCACCCAGTGATGGAAGTGAGTTTTGACACCAACCCAGCTCTTCTTCAGCAAATGACCTTTTGACCCAAATTAAACATGTCCTGATGTTGTGGTTGGTTCCTCCATATGTTCAATGGACTGCGTCCATTGTCCAACTCACCATGTCCGCTGTCGAGTCAAGCTCTGGTGTCCTCGAAGCTGCGATCTTAACAGACGCTCTTACGGCAGAGCATCTTCTGTCTTGCGCTTTCACTTCGTACTCGGCATCACAGCGAAGCCGCCCACCCCCTGCCTCTGTGACCCAACTGCTAGTGGACGGGTCCACCTCCTCCTTGGCCAAAATAAATCACAAGCTGCTGCGCGTGGCTTCACGGCCAAACTGTTTGATGGAACATGCAACCTTCTTCGGTCTGCCACAACCCCAGAACAGGAAAAGACATGATGAAAAATCCATTGGTACCCATGGACATTCACCAATCATTGATGATGATGATGATGATGATGATGATGAAAATGATCGCGCTAGTGTGTTTTCATGTGATGTTCAGTCCTAGTCCCAGTCCCACCATCTCCCCCCTCCACGGTGCCCACCCTCGCAAGGGGGGAAAACGGGAAAACCTCCAAAGGACCCCACGACCGGCTCCTGCTCTTGTGCTTTGTTGCTTCCCAATCTGGTCACAAGTGCTGGACATACTACATGCATCTACATGCGCATGAGCGACGGCACCTACATGCTTCACTCAGACTCTGGTCCGGTCATGGTGAGTAAGCACAGTTGCAGAACTAACAAGAGGAGAAAGTAAGAATAAACATACTGTAAACAAGAAGTGGAAGAATAGAAAAAAGCAAAAGCCTTCGGGCCCCCCAAAGCCCACCTGGCAACGCGTCGCCGTTTCAATTGCATCAAGCCCTTGGTCATCGTACATGTTGGGCCCAATCTTATTCTATATACAGTACTAAGTGTGACCCTAGAACCCAACAAAAGGTATCAAGCTCAATACTTATAGTATTGTTTGGCCAACCTTCCTTCTCCCCTGTCTGTAGCCTGCATAGCACTGGCTGAAAGAGTTGCACAAACATTCATGAATGTTCCTGCGTTCTTAGATGCAACTTCATCAAGCTGAAAAAAACTGGAAGTCAGGAATGCGGCCAGGGGCAGTCGGGATTGAAAAAGCATGGCAAGCGTATGTATCGGGTTGATCATCGGCAAAAAGACACTCTAGACACTGGGTATCAAGTCTACTGCATGTTGTCTCACTCCTCCGCACACCACA